TTTTTTTTTTTTTTTTTTTTTTTTTTTTTTTTTCCCTAACGTTCGCCATTTATGAGAAAAACCGCGGCGAGAAAGAGCGGGAGGTCGAATAAGAGAAAGATACTATTTATAGACGCATCACGATTTTTCTTCGTTGTCGCGATGCGTCTGTTCGAACCTGTTCGAGCCTTGGGAATCGTTATATTGCCGATCGATCGACGCGTCTCGTATGCAGGCACACCTAACGAACGACGACGACGACGACGACGACGACGACGACGTTGGTAATCGGTGGTGGGTGAGCGTGCGTGCGTGAGAGAAAGTAGGACCGTGTGTCTTGCAGCCGTACGCGACACATAATCGCGTACCGAGATATCTTCGATTTAAAGCTCGCATCGGTTCGCCCACGCGAGCCGAGCGTCTCACCGGTTTCACGATCGTAATTAACCCTTTCACTGGTGAGTAGGGACGGTCGTGTGCCGGCATCTCTGTGTTTCGCCTCTTTCCTCCTCGCGAATCCGTTGATCGAATTTTTAATCCTCGAGAGTTTCTGCTTTTTTTTTTTTCTGCTTTTTCGAAAGATTATTTTTAACGAAGCTGAAACTGTTTTAAAAGCAATGGATTCGTGCAATATTCATGTACATAATGCTATTAAACTTGTGACGGGTCGTTCTCGGAATTTTAAATATTCGAGAAATTTAAAAGTCATCCGCGGATGATAAGGGATGACGAGATTTATTTTTATCGTTGCGAAAAATTCGATTTTTCTTTTTTTCTTAATCCATGTTGGATTTTTCATCGTCGCTTTTTTTTTTGATGAAATTTCTTGCTTATTATTGTTTCGCTTTGCGGAAATCTTAAATCTTATAGTTTTGTAATGATTCTTCCATTAATGGTATTACTTCTCCCGAGGATATTTTTCTAAATCCTATCCATTTTCGACAACATCGTAGAAAAAATCGAAGACTCGAAAATTGGATTAGAATCCCCTGTGAAACACACGTTTAAACTCGTATATATTCCATTAATCCCACGTGTCGAGTTTTTTCACGAGTTAGCGTGGAAAAAATGTTTCGAGAAGATTTTTGAGAAATTAACTCGACGCTTTCACCGTTTAATCGAAATAATTTTCTTTTTCGTTTTTCCACC